GTTGTCACTTCTGGTTCACCCCCTGCCTTTTGGGGGGAGGAAGGGAGAGGGGTTTCCAGACAGGGTTTCTCTGTATTATTTTGGAGCCTGTCCTGAAACTCACTCAGTAGACCAGGCTGGCCTCGAACTCACAGATCCGTCTGCCTCTGCCTCCCAAGTACTGGGATTAAAGGCGTGCGCCACCACAGCCTGGCCTAGCGTTTGTATTTCTAACAAGCCCCTTGATGCAGGTGCTGAACCAAGAATCCTATAAGGAGAACCACGGGCCTCATGAATTGCATTTCTTGGTTCTGAAGGAGGAGGGCCCCACAGTATGAGACATTGGGTCTAGAGGTGGAAAGGGCCGGGGTAGCCTAGCTGCAATCTCTGGGGAGACTGGGAGCTTGTTGGTCACCGGAAAAGGAAACTCAAGGCTGTCTGAGTATGCTGGAGCTGGTGAGATGGTTCAGCAGTTAAGAGCACTGGCTCCTCCTCCTAAAGGACCTGGGTTTGCAGCACCCACGTGGCAGCTCACAACTATCTACAACTCCAGTTCCAGGGGTTCTGATGCCTTCTGGCTCTCTCAGGTACTGGGCACACATATATATTTAAAAATGTAGTGATTAAAGAAGCTGTCTCGGGAGCCGGGCGGTGGTGGCGCACGCCTCTAATCCCAGCACTCGGGAGGCAGAGGCAGGTGGATCTCTGTGAGTTCGAGGCCAGCCTGGTCTCCAGAGCGAGTGCCAGGAGAGGCTCCAAAGCTACACAGAGAAACCCTGTCTCGGAAAAACAAAACGAAACAAAGCCTCCTTGACTTCCCGGATGCAGGAAGAGTGGGCCTGAACTCCACAGCCTGAGGGAGGAGGGCACGGGGCAGTGGTGACTTGTGTGTCCCAACTCTGTTTCCCCAGGAGCGCCTGGACCATGCTGTTGAGCGCCTACTGGCACGGCCTCCACCCTGGCTACTACCTAAGCTTCATGACCATCCCGCTGTGCCTGGCGGCTGAGGGCTATCTGGAGTCGGCCTTGCGGCGACACCTGAGCCCCAGGGGCCAGCGAGCCTGGGACTGGGTGCACTGGTTCCTCAAGATGCGCGCCTACGACTACATGTGCATGGGCTTCGTCCTGCTCTCCATGGGCGACACGCTCCGGTACTGGGCCTCCATCTACTATTGGATCCACTTTCTAGCCCTGGCCTGCCTGGGGCTGGGGCTCGCCTTGGGTGGGGGGAGCCCCAGCAAGAGGAAGACGGGGGCCCCCCCGGCCGCCAGCAGCCAAGCCAGGGAAAAGCTCCGGGAAGAGTGAGCCAGCCGTGCTGCGCTGGCCTGCCAGCCACCTCAGGCTTTGCGTGGGAATTGCGTGAGCCGGGCTGCCTTCTCCTTTACCCAGCCAGAGTCCCTTGTTGGGCTAGGAGCCTGGAGAGGATTCCGCCTTCCCAGCTAGTCCCCAGCCTCTGACTTACACAAAGCTAGGGGCACCCTGGCCTCTCCAAACCTCGCTCTGCTGACGTCGGGGTATTACCACTGCCCACTCTCGTCCCTGTCTCTGCAGCAGTCTTCAGGTAGCCAGGGTGCCACGCTTCCCAGAACGCACATGTGGCATCCCGGACATGTGGGGTCCCCGTGGGTCCCCAGCGTTGGGGTAGGAGCTTCAGGGCCAGGTTCTGGGGAAGGGAAGAACATCCTTCCTGTTTTGTCCTTGGCTTTTATCATCAAACCAGTATTTCAGAGACCACGACCTTTCGTAAACACCCTGAAGGAGAAACCGAGGTGTCAGTAAACAGCCCCTGGGGAACATGCTCCCACAGCAGCTTCCTACAGTCTGAGCCACATCTGGGCCCCCACACAACCTGCCACCCAGTGTCATCCTTGGCCTGTGACTGGTGAGAATGTATAAATCTCCCCCAATAAAGTGTTACACATGCATCTGCTGTGAGTGCGTCTGTGGGCGACATGGGCGACAAGGTGCGCTTAGCTTAGCCCGGATTGCCAGGCTGGCACACTGAGGTCCCCGCTGCCGTCAGGTTCCGCGGGCTCAGAGGCGGGAAGGACTTCAACTCCCAGGACACCTTCTAAGGCCGAGGCCTGGCGTTATAGGAGGTGTACCTCAGTCACCTCAGGCCACCTAGTGGCCAGGTACATCCCCGCCTCAGGCCCCTCCCTTACCTAGGGCAGTCCCCGCCCTGGGGGCCTCCAGAGACGGAAACAACTGGTGCAAAGAGTACACCCACAAACATGGAAGAGTGGCCCAGGGAGGCCTGGGGCCAGCCCGGGGACTGGCCTAGCTCCCGGAAGTCAAGAGCAGGTAGGAATGGATCCTGGAAGTCAGGTTCCTCCGTCAAGGAAAGAAGGAGCTGGGTTCCTGAGCCTGGGAGCAGGAGATTTCATTTCCTGGGTTTCCTGAGTCGAAACTCGGAACCCCTGAGGAGGAACCTCGCAGAGACCTAGTTCAGTGTTGGAAGAGAGAGTCAGAGGCTGGGTTCCTAGTATCAGGCACAGGAGGGGGC